CATATAGTTAATTTGTCAAATGTTTTTTGTTTCGGGTGATTTTTTTTTCAAAATCACTTATGATTTGGTTCCATCAGGCTAAGGGACAAATGGCTAAATTTTAATCCTTTTTAATATTTATGTTTCTTTATCAATATAATTTATATATTATATCTTTATTATTATTTAAGATACCATAAATAAATTTACGTGTGGTTTAAAAATAATTACGAAAGCAACTGTCTAAATTAAACCACCACCACATCTGATTACACAGCAGTTACATACGTACTATATAAGTTATTGGTTTTACTGTTACACAACATAAAATACAGTAGCTGTGTATGTCGCATTTGGTTAGAACCCACGAACCACCGAAAGTGAAACAAAATAAAATAAACAAACCGGAAATCCCGGAAATCCGCGCACCCCATTCAGGCCCTGCAACAGATTGTACCAACACTTCATAAATATTTTTAATTACCTCCACTTTCCTCTTGACTATAAAATTTAAATTATTGTTTCTCGTTTAGAACATTACCCCCAATTTGGATAAAGAAAATACCTCAATGAATTTATTGTTTAAATTTAGTGCACAGGGCGGGCTTTTAAAGGACACAAAGGACATGGACACTGTTTAAATGTAAATTGGTACTCAGTAGACAAGTCACAAGTAGATTTTTTACTATTGCGCTAAAGTTTTATATCTGCAGGGTGAGCGTAAAACTAAGAAAGGGAAGCAATTTAATTAATTTTAAAATCCTTGCATTTATAACCAATTTCTACAGGGTGCTCTCAAAAAATTAGACCGGGACTTGCGATTTAATAACATTACTTTTATTTTACTATGCTTTCATTTGGTCGTCGAATAAGTTATTTATGCAATGTTACATACAAGATTTTTATAATTTTGTCTAGATTATTAAAATATTTAAAAAATGAATATTTGGAAAACTGTTGTATTTTTATAATTTGCATTATTTAAATGAACGCAAGTACGGTTGTTTCAAATTTTTTAAAAGAAAATGTTAATCAATGTATGTTTTTTTCGGCTACTTGAAAAATACGACCGATATTACTTCCGTTATCATTGTTTACTTTTATAGACATATTTAGAAAATCATATAATTATTCTCAACTACTTGTCGATTGACTAGTTAAATTACACTTAGTGTATAAGGACATTTTACAGTTTTTCTCTATAATTAAGTAATGCTATTATCCGGTATTTAGGGAAAGTGTTAGGAAAATAAATAGTCCATTATGAGTAAACGTTAACTATTTTGAGTGCCAGGTCACCAAGGGATCGAAGGCAACGAAAAGGCTGACGAACTTGCAAAAAGAGGGTCAGAAGAAATACCGGAATCAGACACAAACCCAGGAGTACCAAAAAGTACAGTCCGGCGTTTTATAAACGACTGGATTCGGGAACAACATATCAACTATTGGGGAAATACCCCAAAACAGGCACATGGAAAAGTCTTCATAGGCAGACCATGTCCCAAAAGAACTGGAGAACTACTCTCAATGAATAGGAACCAGTTAAAAGCGATAACAGGGTTCATGACTGGGCACGCCCCAGTAAAGGGACACTTGAACAAAATTGGCATGTACAATGGGGAACTCATGTGCCGACTATGTCACAAGAAACCAGAAACGGCCAAACACATACTGTGCGAATGCGAAGCTCTAGATCGCAAAAGACAGGCTCTTTTTGGACAACCCCGGGTTGATCCAACAACGTATAGAACCCGCTCACCCAAGGATCTGTTCAAACTTGTACAAGGTACAAAGGTGACAGAGTGGGTGCTATGAACTAACCTTACAAAGGTGACAGAGTGGGTGCTATGAACTAACATGGGGTAAAACACAATAAGCCAATAGGCTTCAGTGTTATTCGGAGATACATAGTCAGACGAGCCAGGAGAAAAAAAATAGGTAAACGTTAAATCCTCTGAGATTCATACTAATACTTCATACTAATTTGATACTTTTAAAATATTTATCATCACAACCAGTTTTTTATATAGCCAACCTTTCTTTATTCTTTTTTTTGTAAATAAATAAAAAAAATGATAAGTGAATGTTTCACTTGTTTCGATATAAGCAAATTCTACTTAATACCTACTTAAATACAATACCTAATTGTTATCTTTAGAAACTTTCAAAAGCAATGTTAATATTAATTTTGAAACCAAAAGTTTTATTTTTATTCATTTTCTTCTCGCAATTTGTGACATAATGAACTTTTTGTAACTACCCACTATGCATAAAAACCATTCATGAATGAAAACTCTACATCACTTTGTTGTAACTTTTGTTTATCCTCTTTTCATCTATGGGACGGACACTTAATCGTTTATGCCCAACGTAGAAACGTATACTTTTGTGATGAAACAATGTAATGTAGATATTCCAGTTCCCAAAAATTATGTCTTTATAACAAACCAGATGTGACATTCCTGTTATATCTAACCTTCTTGTAGATCTGTTAGAATATATATAGAAAATATTTGAGTTTTGTTTATAGGCGTACATCTTTCTTACTTTTTGAGTGCACTCTGTAGAAATAGGATAAAAAGGCAAGAATTTCGAATTAAATAAAACTTTTTTTGGCATTTGCTTAGTGAACCATAATAGCTATTTATGAAAACGGCATTTCGTAACATGTGTTACATAAAATATTTTTTCTAATTTTAACTAGATTATTTATAAAATTGTGTTTTGGTAAAGCATTACTGACATCTAGGCAATCAATATTACTTTCTTGTATTGTTTGTTGTATATGCATAACTTCATTCATTTCATTGACAAATAGAAAATAATATTAATTTATTCTCAACGACTTGTTGTAATGTGTATATATTGTTTGATAAAGTTATTTAGTTTTCAGGAAAGTGGGTTATTTGGTCGTGTATTGTGTTTTGATTATTTTTAAGATTACTATTCAGATATAGAATGAAAAATAAGGACCAAATCAACATTATTACTAGTTTGTAAGTACACTAATCAAATTCTATTTATATGTAGCCAACGTGCCCTCCTTTGATATAAACTATCAATGTATATAATGATTTTAAATCCAAAAAAACATATTTATTTTTGTTTTCTTTTCGCAACTGGTGACTTAATGAATTTTTCTTTCTCAGTTTTATAATGTTTAACGTTATGCAACTGATTTCATAAAGTAGATTGTTTTGACTCTTGCTGCGATTATAAAAGATGTCGCTTTATATGTCAAAATTAGAAAAAATTAATTATAATGCTTCCCTTCTAACTTCTAGTTTCATTGTTATAAGCATTTTTAGAACCTATTTTTAGACAAACCCTGTAGAGCTACCACTTTAGCGAAAGTGAAAATATTATATAACAAGTTATAAATTAAAAATTCAAAATTTTCTGCCGAGTACCAATTTGCATTTAAATAGTGGCATGTCCTTTGAGACGACTTAAATAGATTTCCAAAATTTTCCTTCGCATATTTCGAAAAGTAAAAAAAAAACGAAAATTGATGCAAAGTGCGAAAACGCGTTTAAAAAAACAAGGAGATAATAATAATAGTAGTGATATTGCATAAATATATACCCCTGTGGCTTGAACGACAATTGTAACATCTACTCTTGTTCAAATTAAAACGTGTACACTTTTTAATCATTAATAACTTTGCTTTAGAGGGCAGAACTGGACTTACAGCACTTTCTATAATGCTGCATTTCTTCTCGTAAAACGTAAAAGAAAGACCTAAAATTGAGCCATAGGCAATAAAAAATATCAGTAATGAAATGGCTGACATCTGTCATGGCACCAACATTTGTTACGTCGTTAGGAGGAAATGTTTCTAGTGGCGGGAAATTTTCATGAGTTATATTAGTATACATTTTAATTTAATATAAAAATTATTTTCAATTTTTTTAAATGATTGTTACGTCGTTAGGAGGAAATGTTTCTAGTGGCGGGAAATTTTCATGAGTTATATTAGTATACATTTTAATTTAATATAAAAATTATTTTAAATTTTTTTAAATGAAATTAACTCAATAATTATTATTGGTACATTTCTACGCCACCTCTGATGTATTATCGTGGCGCGTTACCATTTTCTTAAGGGTCCATGGGTAATCACATAAATTAATGCACTTTAGCGTGTTTTCAAATAAATTTTTGACCACACGTTTCTTGAATTAGTTCATGCGATTATCGGTAGTATCGATAAGTTTGTGATCAAATTAAAATCATGAATATGTCGAATAGTAAAAAACTTGATCAGACGGAAATCATGCCCTGCAGGATAGGCAACTTCATATACAAATTTGTATATCGTGTGGTCGTCGTGTAGGGTCTTACAACAGCACATATTAAAATTAAAATAATCATAATTCCTTAATCCCAAAATTGTTGGTAGTTTCGATTTTACTATAAAACCAGTTGTTAATCTATCGACATTTACGAATTAGATCAATTGTAGGTAAATCACATTTCTTTTTCAACGATGTTAAATGTACAGCATTTAAAAAGTCCTGTAAATGCAGACCTGATTAAATATTTTCAACCAAAATTGGATATCAATGAAAAAATATACCATCCTAACCGCTAATTAAATAGGTGCAACAGGTAAAAAGTTATAAGTGATTAAAAAGTGTAGAAGTTTAATATGGCCTACAGTGTACTTAGTTTAATCGAGTTTAACTTCAGGAAGACATGCATATAAATGGTTATAGATGTACAGCATTTATTTTTTTTAATGTATGCATACTACTTATAGAGATTGAAAAAATATTAAATAATGCTTTTGCAAAACTAATAAGGGTTGGAGGTCAAACTACTTCTTACCCTGTATCCCCATTCGCCTTTTTGTCCCCTCACACCCTGTAATGAGTATTTCACTTTCATTTTCATTTTATAGGGTTTATTTTATATAATAAAATTGTATATACACCAATTAATATTAAGTGTTTTTTTAATTTAGGAAAGAAGGTTGAAAAATAATGAAAGAAATAAAAAATATATAACAAAAATAATACCGGAAAGCCATTTTTGCCCGGTGTTCCTGCTGCCCCCTAGGAAATATAAAATAAATTTTAAAACAAAATGAAATAAAAAAAATCAATTTTAAACAAATCAAAAAAATTAAATTACAATATTTAAACAAAAGATAAATACAAATAAACACTTAATCGTTTAAAAGATTTACAAATTTAAATTAATCGAAAATAGAAATTCTTTTTGAATTAAAAAATATATAAATTGGGTTTAAAATAAAACCAATAAATACTTACAGGTGGTCCGGCTTCGCCCGATTCGCCTTTTTTGCCTTTGCGGCCTCTTTTACCAGCGGTACCTGGCGTACCAGGAGGACCTGGTGGACCTGAAATAAAAAAAAAATATAATTAGAATCAATTGAAAATGCAGGACCCTCATTAACTCCTTGAGCCAGGTATTATTCCGATGGATCTTTTAAAGCATATTCGATGTAGAATACAATAATGTAACAACAACCATAAGGTACCATTTCGGTAGGCGCGACAGACGACAAGCGACCACTGAACCGACCCCAAGGTCGAGTAGGACAACAGGTGCATAAATTTTATCCTTCGTAACCATTCGAGGGAACAATCAGCGTTGCCAGACCTACTATTTTCACGTAGATCTACTGTTTTTGTCTCTAGCAAATTTTGTTCTTAATTTATTAAGTTTGCCTAATTCTTCAGCAAATGGGTAAAGAATATTTTCTCTAGTAAATTTTCTGCAGTAAAAGCAGCGTAATAAGCATCCACTAATGTAGGTTGGCTCCATAAAAAAAACATCAAGATAATCATTGTTTTTATTTAAAATGAAATAAAGAATTAATAGGGCATTATAAAAAGAACATGCATATGCCAAACACTACGATTTTGAATTATCTAATTCAGACTGATCTAAAAGAAGTAGGTACCTATTATTTTTCATTGGTTTTTTCCCGTACGTTAAGTATATATTAAAAATGTTTTTATTCTTTGTTTTCTTTCTAATTTGGGTAGAAAAAAAGTTTATTTTTCGTTTCTTATATACTTGTTGTTTTTATTTTCTACACTGCAAATTATAATTATTTTCCCCTTTATTAAAATCTACTGTTCAGATCTAAGTTTTTTTTTACCCATACTGTTCTAAAATCTGGCAACGCTGCCTAGATCGAAAGAAATTTCCAACCGAATCACCCAAAAAAAAAAGCGATGCCGAGGACAGTGACCTCGAGTGCGATACGACACTTCTCGGTCGTCTCGCGCCGTGCGAAATGTGTTTTATATAATTGTATGTATTTTAGATGTGAAGCGACACTTCTCGGTCGTGTCGGCGGTCGTATGTCGAGGCGGCGGTCGTCTGTCGCGCCTACCGAAATGGCACCTATATTGTGATAAGTCAACATTTCTGAAAATTTGTACATCAAATTTATTTCCCTGTTTAGATAAAATGTCGCTCAAAAGAATTTATTTTTAAATTTGTTAGTTTATTAAAAATGAGTGTAGTTGTACCGTTTTTAATATAAAGCCTCGTTTAAAGAAACATTGAATTAAAATTTGTATTTAAATTAAATTTCTAAACATTTAAAGTTATATAATATGTGTTTCAATGTCCGCGTATTTTAAAACCAAATTGACAATAAATAATACACAAACCTCTAAATGAAAATTTCATAATCGGTTTAATAACTAAAACAGTAAAACATCAGTGGCGGTTATTAACATTGTAAATTCGGACATATCGCGGTTCCAATTGAATCGGTTTTGTAATAATACATCTCATAATTAAAATTAATGTGGATTATCGGATCAAGTGAGGTGTGAACAATTCACATTTGTCAAATTTATTAACTATTATCAATCCGCATTTAATTTATGCCTTACGAAAATAATTAGTGTTAGGGAAGGCAGAGTAAAATACATTTTTAAAACGTGTGTTGTAAGTCGAATATACACGATAAAGAGTCATTTGTTTGTATGGAATCTATAAGGTTATTATTGTGAACAGTATGTACTATGTCCCGGTGGTGGAAGCTGTCGTGTAACATGTCAAATTTAAAGTAAGCTTGCTTATCAAAGGATTTTTTAGTTTCTTTGGTGACAAATAATTTGCTTCTAGGATTTTTTAGTTTCTTTGGTGACAAATAATTTGCTTCTAGACCTCTTTAACAATAAAAAATTCCTTTGTAAGCATTTTTTGTCGTCCGGGTTTGCTACTTTGAATGCAAGTTCGATTGTTGTAAAATTTGTTATGTAGCTATATTAATTCATTTTTAAAGCAAAAAGTACACCAACTAAAATAATGAAATCCTACCATAAATGTCATTATTCTTTTATCTCATATAAAAAACATGTATGTCTCATGATATTTGATTAAAAAAATTACAAGAAAACCAAGTTGGCGGTTGTCAACATAACTAATAAAACAATAGTTTTGACAGGTATGGTGTTTAACAAAATTTTTCGATACTACTCATTTTACTTATTTTCTTTGGTTTTGCGTTAAAGTTCTTATGAAGAAGTTAATTCAAACATTTTGTGGCTGGTATGAAGTACACATTTATTGAACAAACAGATTATGCTCATCCGTGGTCACAAATCACTCAGTACTAACCAGGGGCCTGGTAACTCAAATGGAAAAACATGAGAACGGTAATTTAGTACCACTCCAATTAACGGGATGGCGATCGTATCGAAATGTCATGTTAGCTGTCAGCTTGTCAACAAAACTTCAAACTTGGAAAAATTAAAATGGCTGTTGCATTTGAAGGTGTATTGGATTTTGATTCATCTAGATTTAGTTTTCAACACCTTCCAATTTTAAGCATGTTTTCAAGAGATGGGAACATGGATAAAGCACTCCCAGATATTGGTAGTGAATTTATACCACGTATTAAATATGCGGTCGTCATATTAAGGATAACCAAACAATTTGTAATAGTGTCTTAAGAAAAAAGCATCTTGTACTGGCATCAATGGTAAGTAATATTTACAAACTTGTTTTTGATTCAGTGTTAAAATAATTGGTTTGTTATTTAAATTTCTTTTTGTTTTCAGTTTTTAAATGATCATTGTTTCAAAATACCCTGTCGATCGATGAAATATTTGAGCCTCAGCCATCAATATCAAAAATTGATTCAATGTCATTGACATCAAACAAGAAAACACCCTAAAATCTTCAAGGTTCCAAACGTGTGTAAGTTTAATTTATGCTCAAAAATTAAATTTATTTATCACAGTGCCCAAATGATGAATAAAAATTTGATAACTACAAGTGCTGCATAAATGAATCAAGAAAACAATTATCGGATGAAGAAATGCTCCTCAACCTAATTAGTCGACTCAATAACCATATGGCAAATTTTATCCACTCATATTTGCCTCGATAGTAAAAAATGATGCTTCAACTTCAATTTTTTCAAATTTATTTGCCACTCCAAGTCGCAAAACTTTTATAAAGGTCTTGAGCACTTATATATGCTGATTTTGTTACAGAAAACATTTTTGATAGGTTTGTTTTATAAATATTTAATTATCTAAACGGTGTAAATGCATATTTGTTTGAGTATTTCCATGTTTAAATAGACAAATTACGTATATGATGTGGCGTTAATTTACTGTAATAAAAAAAAATAAAATAAATTGCATTTTATTTCAAGTTTGAAATTAATGCAAAAATATAATGAAGTAAAATTAAATAAAGATATAAATTGGCAAAATATTTTACTAGTTTCAAATCACAAAACAGTCAATATGGTTGTTTTATGATTTGAAACTAGTCAAATATTTTTCCAATTTTTTTTGCTTTATTTGATTTTATTCATTACATTTTTGCGCTACTACAAAGTTAAATTTAAAAAAAGCCCGCTCATGGCGGCCATATTGAATTTTAGTACCACTCCAATTTGATAGATGGCAGCACATCGACTCAGAATTTTACCATTGAATTTCCCATCTATTCACATTAGTAATCTATGGTAGTAACAGAGACAACCCAGCGAAACGTGTAACTCAATGTATTTTTTTTTGTTCGGCAGAAGTTGTTTGGGCGATTGTAAAGACAACCAGTATATGATGGCGCCACTAGTGAATTTTCTTATTTTCTTACTGCTGTGCGTATCTAGTCTTAAATAGCGGAAACATTTAAAAATGTTGTAGGGCGGGAAATTCAAACATGGATTCAGAAATAAATAGTTTTCTATACAAATTTACAGGAGGAACAAAAACTATTCTTTCACTATATATTAAAAAATAAAAGCTTTCAATAACATCAAATTTTTTATCATACATACAATTAATTTCAATGAAAGAAGTTTTAATCATAGTTTAATATACGCAGTGAATATAGTTTTTATTACTCTTGTAAATTTCGCTAAAAAAACTTGAAAATTATAGTGATTATTAATATTTAAACTTGAAAAAATAATACAACAAACTCTTTTTCTGTAAACTGTATTTTTTTAGGTATAGAAAAACAAACTACAATTGCTACGTTTAGAAAGTACCTCGTCTTGATCTTTTTACTCGATGTCGTTCTTTTAGTACATTTACTTCCTCTCTATCGGATTTGTCTGTGGTCTTTTAACGCAGAACAATAAGGTCTGTTTATTCCATATTAAATTCGAGAGCTTTATGAGTAAATAATCATTTTATGACAAATTACATAGAAATGAAGTCACAGTTGTTATTTAATTAAAAAGTATTACAAAACCAAGTAGAATATAAAAAAGATGTTATATATTCACAATATATTTAAAAACAGTGTAATAAATGTTTTATAAAGTATAGAGTATAGGTTATGATTGTTTATTTTAATAGAAACCATGGAAACGGAACAAACTCATATTCACACAAATATATAAGACCCGAGTAAGTTCACATCCTGTAAACTGGATCGAAACCTGCTAGACTCATTACGTCCACTCCAATACTAACTCCTCTTAGGGTCCTCAAGATCTATAGATTTATATGCCATGCCTTCTAAAAGGGAATGAAGGATGATATACTATCATCATTCAAACAAGACGTTGCTGAAGGCTTGACCCTGTTATGTAGTCTGTTTGTGTATCTTGTGCGTGTTCATTCTGTTGTCTTCAGTCATGTGAACGTTCTCCTAGTCTCCTAATTTGGTGACTAGGTGGACCTTCTCCAATTAGTTATCTCTTATACGAAACCAAATTAAGATAGCCTTTTTTCTTCATCCAAGCACAGTTTACTCTCTGGTCACGTGACTAAAAAATCTATTCGATCCGCTCTGCATCAGGAGGTACCTGTCAAACGTAGCAAATAATAATTTTAATAATAATTAATAATAAACACTATTTAAAGATGAATACATTTTTGTTTTTTTTTATTTATTTATTTTTTT